ATATTAGATGTTGGCACCTCCACATCATAGTTTTTATTCACAATTTGTTTAGTGTCCCAACTTTTTTGGAATCCGGTTTGTAGACTTTAGTGTATTGACAGAACTACGGGCAGGAGCCTGTGACAGCCACCGGAAAAATAAAGACAGGTAACCCTGAGTCTAATGGAGGACATTTTCTCATCATTTGAAGCAATCTAAGTGCAGAGAGATGTGGAGGTAGGAATCAGCAGGAATCAAACACCTCGTCTTGGTGAACAAATTCTATCCTCCATGATACTCGCTCCTTCATAGCAGGCTGCATCAGAGGCTAGCTTCAGAATTTGTGAAAGTAGACGACATGCCCGTTTCCAGGCCGGAAAACCCGTGGGATGAACTTGGGTGGGGCCAGATTGAAAAATGCTATTTTTACAAAAAAAAAAAAAAAATCGTTTTAAAATCAATCACCCCTACATTCCAAATTGATCCTGGTTATCAAACAGTACAGTCAGCTCAGGTAATTATCCAAAGTAATTTAAAAAAGTTTCCAAGGAAATCCAGTGGACTACATGAAGTCACTGACTTGCAGCATTCACTCCTCCTGGACGGGCACATATAGCAACAGTAGAAAATCTCCTGCATTGTGTTATTGACTTTGCAGCGATCCCTCATACTGAGCAAGCATGTAGCAACAGTGGAGAGGAAAGCGTGACTGCGTATTTGAGAAGACGGAGCAAAATGCACAGAAAATACACACTAAATGATGTAAGATTATTTTCTATGTTCATGCAAGTAAAAAGTTAATAGCAGGAGAGGGAGACAGTCTGATGAAAAGTCTACTAAAATCATAACTGCAAATCAAGTATAATCTGTTAGACTTTCTAAGGGGTAAAATTAAAGCTTTGAAACTCAAAAGCAATTTTTATCGGGCCCTAACATCATTTCGAATGTTTTCTTTAGCAAATCTGCCTTTATGAGCACGAGTTGTGTTGTGGAGGAAAAGGGATTTCAGGATTTCAGTCTGGATTGAAATATAGCAGAAAATATAGAAGAAATCTCAAACTGTTCTGACATTCTACAAAGAAAATATTTTTTGATATTTTAAATGTTTCATTATTTTTGTCCAAGAAAAAACAAACAACAACAAAAAAAAAACATTAGCTTTTTGAGTGCCAAGCACACTTGAAACCAAATTATTTTTCTTGACCTTCGAATCCGCTTTTTTATGTCTTTCTTCGACATTTATTTCTGCATTCATGTGTGGAGCCAGAATGAAATGATTAAAACAAAGACATGCATTAATTGCTTTACTGAATTAAAATCTCTGTTTTCTTTTCCGCTCTATTTTCACACCAAAAGCACTTTTTGAGACATTCTCCTCCACAAAAGAAACAAGATTGTCTTTCCCCCCCTGAATCCTGCATCTTATATTTCCTTGCAACTAGATCAGATATGGTTCCAACCAAAATGCACTTAGCTGTGCTGATTATTTATTTCATGTTCTGAATGGAATTACAGAAATAAATGTAACTTTTAATGATATTTCAATATACTCTATGGAAATGTTGACGTAACAAGGGGAGGAACGATACACAGTTCTTTCATGTCTTAGACCATTTTCTAACTCACCTCACGTGAACAGACATAAGCCCCTCAGTTGGGTTGCGGTGTTAAAATCATTCGAGTGAAGGGAAGAGTTTGGAAACGACAAACCTGAGAGGTGGCATAGGGCACACGTAATCATACATTTACAAATGAGTCACCAACATAAATTCCATGTCCCATTCATCAGAAAAGAAGCACCTCATTATCCTTTGGGGCCATCATCCATCTATGCCACATTAGGCCCATGTGAGTTGGGATAAAACTGCAATGTCATGTCTGGCTCTTTTGTCTGGCACCAACACAATCAGGAAGCAAAGTTTCATGTTGATAGGGAACTTGAGCTGCAAGTAAAATGCAGCTTCTTTTGTATAATGGCTTCATTATACAATGTTTGCTGTTAATGTTTCAGCAGCACATTGGAAATAATTCTCCATTTCCATACATGTGAGTGCAAGCAGACGTGAAGCTCATGCATCTCGCCTGCATCGCTTCTATTGTGGAGAGCGGAGGCAGCCAAGTGGAAGGCATATTAGAAAGCAGGGGATATTGATTGTGGCTGGGGACTGGCTGTGCTTTGCATAGCAAATGGCCCCCATTACCATACCATCTCTAGATAATTAATGTGCAGTCAGTGGGCCTGTCGTTCGTTATCGGTCATTTTGATACTGTTCAATTTTCATCTCAACCTCATGCTTCTTTTAGGGAGCCTTGCTCCTCCGCTAGTTTTTATAAATCACACACCGAAACCCTGGTCAACGAGTGTCTGTTACTATCTTGCCCGGGGAAAGATGCTTATCGCCTTGCAGCCGTCTTGCATCCTCTCATTATACCAACATTATCCAGGCACAAAGGCCAGGGAAGACTCTTGAAATTAGCATTTGTGTGGCATTTAAGTAGCAATATAAACCTGCTGTGAGTTGTGTGGCATTTGAGGTGTAATATCATCCCGCTGTGAATTGCCATGCTCTTATTTGTTGCTCTCATCTGATATCATCCATACAGGTGACAATAACTTATCCACGTCGGTCTGTGTATTACTGGTGCAAATGATGAGAAGAATAAAGAAGTGATGATCTGTATTTTCCTTAGCGTTGTGCTGTTAAGACTTGTACTGCAGATCCTAAAAACAGAGGACCCTTGTTTCATGGTTTTTTCACCCAATCTGTTTGCCTATAGGTTTAAAAATAGGCTGCTTTACCCTGAGCTGCATCACAGGGATGAGATTTGCGGTCCTAACAGGCCATGCAGATTGCCATTACTTATGCCTGACAAGCCTACCCTCTGATGTTTCCATACTGGCCTATTTTACAATATAAGCTGCTGCTGCTCCTCACGCTGGTGCCGAGATTCGAATTTCCAAATTGGCTGGAAAAAAAAAAAAAAAAAAAAAAAAAAAAAAAAGCTTGTCCCGAGGTTATACTGAGGTTCCCGGAATGCACACGTGTTTGTCTGGTTTCTTCTGCAGAGGAAATGAAATGCAGAATACTGAAAAAGCTAATATTTTACCTGAGCCTGTCAAATGAGAAAAGCCCTACTGTTGTTTGTAGAAATGCTTTTTGCAGTATAAAACAAAACACGGATCTTGACCTTTGGTTTTTTGGAGCATCTTATTTTTTATGCTTTCTTTAGCCTATAAGATGGATTATTTGGACTGAATTAACTCTTAGTTGAGTAAAAATAAAGCATTTTTCTACAGATAATTAGTTAATCACTCAAAATATATATTTTCAGCAACTGTTACTTTATTTTCATATATAAAGCCACCTGTAGACTCAGATGATGATCTGACACAAAATTATAGACATTGATATTTTATTTGATCTAAAATAATTCAAAAATATTCATCCTAAAGTTCAATAATGAATGTTCATTATGCCAATATTCTAAAGGTGAAAATTCTTTCGCTTGAAATTATCCTGTTTAAAATAAAATAAATCTACAAAACAGAGCTTTTCAGAATTTCAGAAGACCATCAAAATATTTGTCATTTGAAAGTCAAACTTAGATTTTTGTAAAAAAAAAATTTATTCCTGAAATTCTTTTTATCAGCTTAATGTCCAATACCTTCAGTAATGAGTGAAGCAGAATTTTATAGCAGCAAGTAGACAATAATGATTGCATGCAATTATCAGGAACCTACTGGGAAGGCGTAAATAATGCTTTTAAATAAATTACTGTTTTTAATAAATCATAAGACTAGTTAGATTGTGACAAAAACATGAGACTGGGTTACAAACATGAATCAGTTCTAATGGAATCCACTTACCTTTATGGAAGAAAGGCTTCTTCATGCCATCAGGAAGCCGCGCTTTGCGCTCAACGCTGTAGCCGTGACGTGGGCCGTGCTCTTCATGGGTGTACCTCACCCCGTCTCTTCTGGCTGCGTCAGCAGCCATTTTATCCCGCATTGCTTTGGCACGCTCCGACTCTAGTGCAATAGCTTTCTCTAGCAGGGACAGATTCCCCTTTGTCATGTCAAACACTTCCTCCGATCGGTCCGACGTCACCGAGGCCGTGTCCTCGTCAAAGTCCCGGTGGCTGTTGGTGTGATATCGCTCATCGTGTGCACAGCTAGAGAAGGCCTTGGAGCGTGGGCTCAGCTGCTCCTCAAGCTTCATGAGATTGTCCATGTCAGAATAGTTCCTATCAAGAGTCCGTCTGTCGTCTTGGCTGCTGTGGTAATCTCCATAGCCGTGATGCTGGGGTTGCTGATTGGGGTCCCCGCACGAATAGTGATTTTGCTGAGTTGGGCCATTTCGTTCGTTGGGCTTTGTTTCACTAAGTTTTCGAGCCAAGTCGAAGCACTGGTTCCTTAGGCACTCCAGACTGCTTAAACACACTTCCTCATCACTGTTTTCTATTTGTCCGTTACTGGAGGTCCTAATTTGACCTCCGTTGTGTGCGTTTCCACCGTTGTGAGTACAGTCAGTATCATCCCCGATGCCGGACGTTCTGTTCTCAAACTCCTGTCCGTCTAAGCTGTCGGACAGAACCGCACCATGACCCTGTGCCAGCAGTTTGAGAGAGTCCACCGTTTCTCGAACCACATCGCTGTCAACGTCCAAACTCAGATCTTCTCGTTGTGTTTCATCCCCTTCCTCCTCCTCTTCTTCCTCATCCTCTTCCTCCTCTTCGTCATCTTCCTCTTCATCCTCCTCCTCCTCTTCCTCGTCGTCTTCTTCCTCCTCTTCCTCCTCCTCATCATCTTCAGCACTGTGGGACGAGTTGCTGTTCATCTCAGACTCTGTCATGGCGCGATTGGCGGCGTCTTCTGCGATCTTCCCCAAGTTAAGGAGGGACTTGGCCACGAGCTCGTCATAGTTTTCATACTCATCGTTGTTGTTGTCATCCTTCTCTGTCGCAGGACCGGATTTTCCGACACCGCCGCCTCCACCATTGTCTTCGTCCCCCTCACCAGTGCTCATCTGATCTTCCTCTGTTGGGAAGAAAGAACAAGCATCTTGTAATTCCATTTCCGTCATTCTATTTTACAGCTAAATCGGATTTCTGGGCTTGGACCATCTAAATTGGATAAGGAACTCTTTGCTTCCCCTTAATAATTTACTTTGAGAGTCTTAGCAGCTTGTGTTCTGAATTGTGAATCACCACAGGAAGTTAAATGCAGTAGTTTAGGAAAGTTCCAGGCAAAGATGCTCTATGAATCATGTTTTCACAGTAGGCCCCTGATTCTTTCTGCGCCATTCAGTGCTGTGCAAAAGTCTTGACTCATTTAATGGAAAGGATGTTGTAGTCTTTTAAATGGCATTGATCAATATTTGTTTAAGGTTTTTGGAAGTTTTTGACAGTTTCTTTAGACTTAAGTGATTTACTGACTCAATCATACTTTATTCTTAATTACACAGATTAAAATGTATTTATATCAAAAGATCTAAATCTTGTTTCATTGTGAAAACAGTTTCCTCATCACAATATCTCAAGATAACTACTTTTAATCGGTGAGAATTAAAAATAGAAACTTCAAGTTGACATTTGAAGTTTGCATAAACTTTAGATAGTGGCTGTTTTTGAAGTTCATACAAAGTGTGATTATGTTGTTTTAGAGTATTAAAAGTAAAACAAGTCTTCTTAAGTAGTAGAGATGGGAGAAACCTTAATTAAAATGTTACAGTTAAAAGTTTTAAAGTCATCCTAACAGTGTTCCTGGCCAGTTTTTACAACAACATTTAATATTTGTTACAGTTTAAACATTTAAAAGTATTCTATACACGTGACTTCATCTAATAAAAGGTAGATGAATCAGAGATGGGTTGGTACAACAGAAATGTCTTATATTCCATACTCTTTCCTTTTTTCCCATAAAACTTAAAATAGATTTTGCACACTATGTAGTTATCCCATTGAACACACGATCCAACTGGAACTTGAGACATGCCTATTCAGTCTATTATTTTCTATTGAAAACGTAAATTCAAAGTCATGTCGTGGTGTTCAAACGGTAACATGATGAACTTCAGTCAGCAGCTATTTATCCCTTGCTTGTAAAGTTCTTTATTTTCATTAAATCATCAGTATCTTTAGAATTCCTTTCAGTGCCTAATTGATTCTGGCAGACTGCAAAGGTTACTGAACCTCTTCTGTCAGTAATTTCAAGCACTCACTCCTGGAGCACTTCCAATCTCTCCTTTCACGTTTCCGCCCTGTGCCGTCGAGAGCACATTGCTCATATTGGCGCCACATTTGCCTTTTGCATTCCTGTAAAGAAAACGCACCCGGAGGTCCCCAATAACATGTAGAAGCAAAAGGAACAAAAGTTTGCATCACCTTTGGTAACTTCAAAACCAGGGGAAAAAAAAAAAAAGATATTAATGAAAAAATATTTTTTACTACACTGACAAAACACAAAGATGTTTGAATATTTCTTGTGAAAACAGTCCTTGTTCTACAAAAGCTTTGTCATCTTTACACACATTTCTACACATCCAAATTTAATGAGAGCAACACAGCCTTTGCTGCCTGGAGGGTGAGGGCTTTAGAGCAGGAAGAGGGAACTGTCACGAATGACCAAGCACATATTTTGACAGCGAAAGGCTTCTTACAGCAACCTCCAGCACCAGGGGTTTAATTTTTGATGGTTTGAAACATGGCACAGGGAAGCAATTTGAAGAGCAATCAAGGTACACAAAAGGGATATAGAAGCAACACAGATTAAGGGGGGAACAGAGGGATTGCCCTGCCCTGAACTGACGTCGTAGTAGCGACAATGGGGCGTGCATGTGAATGAAAAACACAGAAAAGCTCCTGAATTTCACCTGGAGATTGGTAACTGTGTGCCATCAGTAAATGGGAACAGCAAAGATGATGCGTACCGGAAGAGGTCGTACACCAAATCCAATGCTCCTCTTTCAATGTTTAATAATTACAGAGCCCTAACAAAATAAGGGTGTGCAGAATTCTTTCCGGCAACAGGAGTCTTGTACAACACTTCTAAAGGGTAGGTGCAGACAACTTGCCTTCGATAGAAACAGAGTGAGGTCAAAGAGATAGTGGCACAGGCTCAGTGTTAAAGATAAAATCTCAGCCATGGGCTCTAATGAAAAGCAGTCTGAAAAGATGTTTTCACATGTCTGCGAGAAAATAGGAGCGCAGCGATGCCACATCAACACTTTGGGTGGATGGAGCTGCGCGCCAAACAGGGTTAACACACTTCTCTCTCTGAGCTTCACTCTTAATTGGACTTGAAGGCACTGTCAGGTCCAATCGTGATGCGTGGGTGCAAAGCCGAATCTGCTGGAGAGAAACCTGCCAGATCTGCTGTTTGGTGCATCACTGGGGGAAGGGGAGATCACAAACATATGGGGCAGGAGCTTCTGAAATCCCACTGCCAAAACTGGGTGGAATTTTGCAGTGTGTCTTCATGAGACATATATTCAAACTTGAGTGGCTAAAGACTCAATTCTTATTGAGTTAGAAGTTTGGTGATATTTCCTCGGTTAGGTTAAGGTTTGTTCAGAGAAGGATGATCAAGTTAATTTTCTACTGCTCAAACAGATTTCAAATTTTGAGTAGAGATGATCAAATACAGTTCAGATTTCTTTTAAAATTATGCCTTCCAGGTTAGTGTCATGTTGAAAATATCAACCCTGATATTTAGTTCATATCTGTAGAAAGTGGTTGAGTATGCCAATATTTTTTTCCACAGGTTTTACACTTGGCACAAGACAGGTGGGTGCCCACCCTCCACTGTCTGAACATGCAGCTATGAAATTCAAAACTCGTCGATGCAAAGCTGTAAAAAAAACTTTGATGTCAGTCAGTACGAAACAAAACAACAGATATTATTTCCGCCATAACTGCAGATGTTCTTTTTACATGTTGGGCTATGAAAAACTCTTACCAGATCAGCTATTTTATCTTCATTTTTCAGATGGATCTTGTTTTACTCACTTCACGGTTTGTAATCCTGTTGTCAGACATTTCTTCAACCCTTTGAAAAAATCCCCGTCAGACGTTTTTGAGAAGATATTTTAAAAATCTTTTAAAAGTATCTGATGCTATGAAGGAAAACGCAAGTGCTTAAATTAAAATCAAATTGTACTGTGCATGTGTAACCTAAAAATGGATATATGATAGCTTCTATTCTCATAAACTAGATTGATCTGAAGTGAATTTGGACTTGATTGATTTCTGTACCACGGCATATGGAATGAATCAGTTTTATCTGCTGTAATCTGGTATTATATAAACAAACTGAGCTGAAGTGATACTGAATTCAATTATGTGGTACCAGAGTAATGAGATTTAAGCTTTCTATGAACATGGTGGCATGCCAGGCTATCTCTGCTGTTGATCATACCAATAAAAATGCTGGAGCTCATAACTCCAATGAAAAGGCAATTCTGGTTGCTTGAATACATTTATCATGGGCCTTTTGATGTGGACTCACACAATCGGCTATGTTATCTATAGCATATCGTTACAACTTCCTACCATTGTTACCAATGGTATCTTGCACAGTCTGCAGCTTTTAAGTAATATGATTTCATGTTCTGGTCAATTAATCCGGCTTTGTTTAAAAGTAAAAAAAACAACAAAAAAAAACACACATTGCAATTCATCATGTCGAATTTAGCGAACACAAACTACATGAACATTTGTACAAAATAAAAGTTTTAGGATCATCTCAGAGAATGATGAGCGCCAGAACACAAACACAAAAAAAACAACAACAAAAAAAAACCAGGAAAGCATTTTTTTCTGTTTTGAGGGGCCTTAAAGCCTATTTTTCGTTTTTGAAAACTTTCTTCTATATCGATTTGTACAACCATGAAAAAAATTCACAAAATGCACCACATTTGCTGAATTTATTTCTAACATTGTCCTTTAGTACTCTTACCTTGTTGCTGATTCTGCTCTCCGTCTTCCTCCTCTCCTTCTTCATAGTCCACTTCCTCTATAGCTTCCTCATCCTCCTCTTCTGCCTCCTCCACCCTCACTTCATCGCTTTCCTCCTCTTCGTCTTGCTCCACCTCTACCTCCTCTTCTTCCTCTCCCTCTCCTCTGTCCTCGTCCTCCCCGTCTTCATGCTCCATTTGTTCGACATTATAGTCCATGTAACCCTCGACGTCTTCCTCTTCAACTTCTCCCTCCTCCTCCACGGCCCCCTCGTCGTCTTCCTCTTCCCTGTCGTCCATCTCCTCTGTCCCGTCTGTCTCGTAGCACTCCTCCATGGTGGAGTTGTCCATGTCATCCAGGTAGGTGCTCCTCTTCGGAGAGGTTTCCAGAGTTTGCCTGTCTAGACCCTTCCTCTTCTTGGCCACAGGGCAGCCGTACACACTGTCGAGGACAAATGAGAGTACCTGTTAGAAATATTAGCTAACCTACAAAGATTACATCCCTTCATTTTCTGAAGTTGTTGCATTAAAAAAATGCTATTTTTTTCTAAATGAAGTTTTTGTGATAAACCAACACTTGACAGAGCAGTTACAGAAAAATTGTGAGTTTAACAACAATTAAAAAGGAAGAAATCAATTGTTAAACTAAAGCTAATAGAAGTCTTGCTTAATGTTTGCCTTAATTTATACAGGGGCGACAAAAATCACAGTAAAACACGGCGGTGGCAGAATCATGCTGTGGGAAAACCTTTTCCTTAGTAGGGACAGAAAAGCTGGTCAGAGTTAATGAGAATATAGATAGAACTTATTGAAGGGCAGTACTTGAAAATAACTGTTAGAAATCTAGCTAAAAGACTTAAAACTGGGTTGGAGGTTCACCTTCCTCCAGGACAATGACCCCAAACACTGAGCTTGGGCTAAAACTGAGTGGTTTATATAAAAGCATAGTCATCTTTTAGTCAACATCGAAACATAAAACACAATTGAGAATCCGTGGAAAGACTTGAAAACAGACTCTCACAGATTCCTTCCATTCATTGTGACTGAGCTTCAGCTATTTTACAAAAATGTTATTCTTGAGATGTGCAAAGCTGAAAGAGGAATACCTCCAAATACTTGCAGATGCAATCACAGTGAAATGCAGTTCTGCAAAGTATTGACTCATTGGGGACCCACAGGAGTAAATGACACACTTTGTTTTATTTCTCTTGAAAAATGTGTCTTTTTCATTCCAATTCCCCCAAAATACATTTGTAGTGATGAAATGGCCAAGCGTGAAAAACATTCAAGTGGTCTAAATACTTTTACGAAGTACAGCAAACATCACTGCTCATGTTAACCTTTATTTTGTAAAGCTTATTTACAACATTTTGAAAGGAGTTCAATACTTGCAGGGTCAAAGACGGAAAACATAGCATCTCAAGTTGTTCCGCCGAGACAGACATCAGGCTTTAATTAGATGTGCTCATTAACTATTGAGTTGTTATGCTAACGTGATCTTTTTATTTTCTTACATTCCCACACACACGAACCCCTAAATGAAACAAAATCAAAAGATTTAACGTCAGTTTTTCCTTAGGCTAAAGAACACCACAATGCCTGCCCTGTAAACACCTCCAAACTCAGTTTAGAGTTGTGAAACACAACAGCTTTTACAAAATTCACTCCGAGTGAGAACAAACCTGAATCATATCAAGGCACCTCAGGTTTTAATGTATTCTCTGGCTCTCCTCTGCATCTAGGGGACAAATCCTAATCTGATAATCTGATAATCTGTGTATTTGCTCAGGCTATTGATCAGAGGGATCTTATTCCATTTGACTCATCAAACCTGAGAGAGTCCTGGAGCATGTGCCCGATTTCAGAAATCACCCACACAAGTCAGTATTTTTGAGCTTTTTGAGCTGTCAGATGAACCCAAAAGGCTCTGGTCACATTCACTCAGCTATGAAATATCCCCAGGTTCTCTCCTGTGCACAGCGTCAACACTAACACAAGAAACTTTAAATGAATGAAAAGATGTCGATGAGATTTGAACTGAAACAACAGCAGCAAACTGATATGTCTACACCACCTACTTTTCTCATATTCCAATCCAGGTCTATTCAATAGCCTATCCATACTCAGTCAGTCAAGGCTAAATCTCGCCCAGTGTGGGGATTCCTTAATGGTCTGACCCCCTGCACCACCCGTGACCAGGGGCCTCATTTCATTAATCTAAGCCTACATGGAAACTCATTCCCTGCCTGACAAGCTCTCCCCCCCAGGGCAGCGAGAGGGTTCGTGGGACAGTGAGGGAGGGGGGGTTGAGACTGAGCTGCAGCACAGTGATCAATAGTGCTTGTGACCAAACATCTCGAAAGCACATTAAAATGCCACTCATCCTGGCTCCTCTGTTCCGTGGCCCTCTCCAAATAAATCAAGGGCCAGTCCCAGCAGGCAGGCGGGCAAGCAGGAGAGGAGGGGCAGAAAGGGAGAGAAGTGGTGTGAAAGGTAGATAGACACGGGTTCTCACCCCCTCCTCTCCTGCTTTGTCACCTAGCCTTGCTTTTCTACCTGTTTTTTTCTTTTTTTTTCTTTTTTTTAACAATAAAACAGTCTGAAGGCAATGTTTGTTGTCAAGCTTTAAGCTTGGCTCTGTGAATCTGTGCCTGACAGGTCTTAATGCAACTACATCCAAAAATAATAATAATAAAAAAGACCATGTTGTTGAACTGAATAATTGCTGCAACATCAGCTAATGGACAGCAAATAATATGGGGTGGGCTGTGTATTTTTTCATTAAAAGGAGTCAAGTGCGCATTATTATTTTAGGAGCAGGCTTGTACAACCACTGGAAGTGGACCGCCTTGATGTGCGCAAATGAATTTTAATCGCAGTGGTGACAGGACAGTGCAGTGTGGTCTTCCTTTGTCAGATTAATAGTTTCCCCAACAAGTTCAGCTTGTTCTTGTAGAACCACAGGTCTAGTCAAAACAAAATTTTTATTCCCAGAGGAAGGTTTTTGGTATCTCCACAAATGAGAAGCATTTGATATATAATACATATTTTGTAACATGTCTAGCTTATTCTAGAATGATTAGTTGTTGTTGGCTAAACAAGAATGAAGAAAGCTTTCAAATGTCATGCTAAGTGTGTTAATATGTTATCTATAACATTAAATATTGATAGCTAATATGTTGAACTTTCAATGTGAGTCTCTCTTATCCAAATAAATTGTTACAGGTTTTGAAAAAGGTGAAAGTGAAAGCCATCGCAGCTTTAAGATGGTTATGACAGCTGTTGCAGATTGTTTACATTTTTTAAAACTAGACCTCTAACATATGAAAAAAAAAATGCTTTATAAACATAGTAAAAATTTTCTAACCCGACATAGCTCTTATCTTACCAAAGTCTATTTATGACTGGTTGACCAAGTTTAACTATGGAGATATCAATTTTCAGATTGCCAGTAACTACGGTATCGGCATGGATACCACGGGCTAATCAGCGAATGTGGTGAGATGCCAGTGGAATTGGTTGCATGCAATACCCGGCTGGGTCCCGTTTGTACCACCCAAGATGTGGTTCCAAAAACGGGGATGAATCTGACAAGATCTCTGGATGGAGACAAATCTGACTGGGGAACAACTGATTAAAGCCGTCCCTCCAACGTATGCACCAGAACGTACGCTGCAGCCTCAGTATGAAATCCTGCCCAACAAAACCTTTGTTGTTGTTGTTGTTGTTGTTGATTTGCTGAGTGATCCAGTTCATCCAATCACAAACAACCACAATGTTGCATATGTGTCTTGCAAATGGCATAGGAATACACAGCATCGTACAGCATCACTCTCCTATGCATTTAATTTTGTACCAAAAATAACTATTACCACTACCAGCAAAACTAAAATGCAACATATTTCTTTTTTAACAGAAATATGTTAAAAAGGGGATAAAAATGCGAAAATCAAATGCGAAATCTAAGGATTTTTAGTTACACTTAGCTTCAAATTTAACAAATCTAAAATGGCATCTGATAGGTGTAGGATAGGTACTGCATGTATACCATTCCTATGCTCAAAATCTAACACATTTAACAAACTGTTTCTCAGATATTAAAACAAATACCTTAAGATTACATCAGGCAATCTCACACTACATTTTACCAACCGTCTGTCTGATTATACATCAATACATTGACATACAAAGCAAAACAGATACAGCGTGATAACAGCTTCATTGTTAGCTTAACATCATTTCCTTCGGTTTGAGAGAACTTTATAAACTCCTGTTCAATCATAGATCATGAGGCAAACTTTTTTGATAAATTAGAAACTGATTGGTTCCGGAACAGTGCTATAATTCACCACAGCTGATTATCGCTGTAAGAGCTGAGCTCTTAAGTGTCCTTTAGATGTCGAACTGTTGCTATATGATGAAAAGGTATGTTTGCCTTGCTTCTAGCGAGCCCCATGATGACTAAACCTGCAGGAAGCCTCCGCAGCTTCCCACGTTCTTCCAATCCTGCCACCGAGTGACCTTGTCGGCAATGTTCCTCATCACAGGCCTTGCATCCCACTCACTGCACTTAGCAATTAAAATTCCTCAAGTAATTAAGTGGTATTTTACTTGAAAAGAGGACTAATTCAGCTGGAAATGTGAAGAAAAAAACAAGACGATGAGAAAATACTGCACCATTCTAGGTTGCTTTGCACCCCCCACCCACCACCTCCACCACCTTCCTGGCAGAATGACAAAAATCCTCCGAGAGGCGCGTGCAGGATGGGAGGCAGCAATCAAGAGGAGAAAAGAGCTTCAGACCACAAAAAGACCACTTGATTTTTCTATAAAGTGGGCATCCTTAGCATTACAAGATGGAACAAATTCTATTACAGTGTGAACAAGAGGCCCCCTTAATGCAGAATAGCCCCGTCAGGAGGCATTGTACTGAACGGGCACCAGTTCCTGGAGCATTAACGTGAGACAGGGGAGAGGAGTGGCAGGAGACAGAGAGCTCCTGTTTGGCTAATTTCAGTCGACAGTTGAGCGACTGCTGGAATGCGACACCGTTCCACGGTGCCTTTATTAGCAGTCATATTAGCGGCTGTTCGCAGCGGGGGCAAAAGCTTTAGCCGGTCATTAGCATCACACACTATTTGTCTCCCTGATGCACGGATGAAGGTGCTGTAGCTGCTCCCCCTGCCTCCTTTTTCCTTCATCTTTTCTTTCTGCCATCTTTATGTTCGCCATTCCTACATTTCTCTGCATTATTTCAATATGTTAAGGTTTTCAGCGTAAATTGCTCTCTGCATTACTATTCCTGCCATTTTCCCCTGGTTTCTCTAACGCTGCTACTGTCTTCATCGCACTTATTGCTCCACAGAGCAGACTGGAGACAGAGGGAATGCACCACCTCCGACTGTGCTCCCTATCCAGCAGGAGGATCTATAGACACGTGTG